CTCCCCCCTCCCCTCTTCTCTCTCTCTCTCTCATATTTTCTGTAGGCAAGAATGTTGAAAACACAATTGCGATATTTCAGGCAATGTAGAACCTCTCTCTCCCAGTTTGTTGCAGAAACACCACTGAGCAAACAAACTCCTGGTAAAACAGCTTAGACACAAACAGCAGCTGCCACCATTTATGGGCTATTTTTTTCCCCTTCTCCGTTTTCTCATTTCTTTCTAATTCTATTTGTAATAAAACCTGCTACTCTAATAGCTTGGTAGTTTAACAAGCTAAATTTGTCCTTCTTCTCCCGATGACTCCCAGGTGGTTCTGACGGTGTGTCCTACATTGGGGTGTTGGCCCAGCTGAGGGTGCTTATACTCCAGCCATCATCTTTCTGTCTCAGGGTTCTGCCTAAAACTCTGGGCCTTCTCCCCAGGCAAACAGGGCAGAGCTCGAACTTCTGGACTTCTTGATAACTGGAGGACGTGCGCCTTGACTGTGGTGGTTCTTGTCCTTCTTTTTTAAAAAAAAATTAGCTTGTATTTTATTTTCTTGTTTGTGTGTGTGTACCGTCAAATCAGATCTGACTGGTACAGGAGGAAATTGTTCCTCCTTTTTCAGCAGAGCATCTGGTTCTTGCCCCTCTTACTGCGAGCGTGGTAATGTGACTGTATCCTTAATGTGTTTTCTCCCTTCTTTCTTGGTTTTCTGGTTCTATTGTTTCAGATACAGAGTCTTTGAAGACATATTGTTCTCAGTTAGCATCGAAATTACTGTGACTCATAGAAACCCAGTGCCCAGCAGAACGCAACCATGTCTGATCCCACAGCTCCTCTGCTGGGTCTCCACATAGTGCTCTGCTCACTGTGCCAGCCTCTCTCCGTGAGGAGGATCTTCTCTTCCTCCGACTCTCCACTTCACCCACTATGATGTCTTTCTCCAAGGTCTCTCTCCTCCAGATAACAAGCAGATAGATGGTCTCCTCTCCCTCTCCCTCTCCTCTCTTCCTTCTCTCTCTATCTTTCTCTCTCTCCTCCTTTCTTTCTCTTTTTCTCTTTCTCTATATCTTTTTCTCTCTCACTTTATTGTGATGAAAATGTATATAACAGATTATAGGCCATTGCAACAATTTCTACATGTACAGTTCAGTGACACTGATTACAGCATCACATGGTTCAGGCGGTATTTTTTCCAAATCATTCCAAGTTTATTAACATAACCTCAGTGCCTCCTAAGCAAAAACTGCACCCTCCCCTTCCTTCTAAGGCCCGACAACCACTTTGATTTCTAGAATTTCTAGATAGTTACCTGTTTGATGTAAGTGAGATCCTACAGGATTTGTCCTTCTGAGATCAACTTACTTCACTTACTATATTCCCAAGGAGGGAGCTCTGGTGGCCTAGTGGCAAGGAGCTGTGCTGGAATCCCGAAGCCACACGGTTCTAGGCCACCAGGTGCTCCATGGGAGAAGCTTGGGCAGTCTGCTCCCGTGTCAGCTTGAGATTGATCCCGACTCTGCGGTACACAACAGCAGCAGCAGCAGCAAAGCAACATATTTTTGGGGAGTGTGGGTGGCATAGTTCATAGGGTGGTGCACTTCTAACGCAAGAGCTGCATGTCTTTGTGGTTCGAATCCACCTGTGGGTTTTAGCTTCAGAAAGATGGACCATCTCCTCCTGTAAAATTTTGAAGCTTGGAAACTAGCTGGAGGGTCTGCTCTGTCTTGGTCCACACTGGACAGACAGACAGACACACACACACACACACACACACACACACGGAGGAAGGGAGGGAGAGGGAGAAGGAGACAGAATAGGAGAGAGAGAGAGAGAGAGAGAGAGAACACGGTATGAAAGAAGAGGAGAGGGATTATGTTTTGGGGTTCATCCTATTGTGGCATGCCTCAGGACTTCATTTCTTTTTGTGGTTGAGTTGTACTGCACTGCAGTTGTTCCATTTTGTTTATTCAGTAATTCAGTAATTAATTTTGGTTGTTTATCCATTTAGGCTGTTGGCAAAAGGGCTGCTGGGAGCACTGGTGTATGGGTTTCTTTTCATGTTTTTACCTTCACTGCTTGAGTGTGTGCCGAGGATGGAAATCGCTGATCTGTGTTGTAGTTCTCCTCGCAGCCTTTTGGGGAAAGCGGGCGCCCGTTCCCCAGTGGCGGTACTGTTTTACATATCTGTCAGCAATAGCGGCAGGTGAGTTTAGTCGATGCCTCACATTTAAAAATGAAGGAATATAGGATTAGGTATTATTTTCATGACAAGATTGCAGGAAAAGAAAGGCATATCAAAGTGGGCTGTGGACTGGGATGGGGATTGTATGACAAAGAATTTTTTTTTCTGCAAAGAGAAAAACAAACTGGGGAGTAGGGGTGGGCAGGGAGGAAAATGCAACAATGAATGAATGGAGGGGGGAATTAAATGGGAGTAATATGCTGTAAAATATATATGTTGCATTAAAAATCGTTGTTGTTAAGTGCCGTCGAGTCGCAGGCGACTCATAGCGACCCTATGAAGGAGAGTCCTCGACGCTTGGGTGCCTTTCATCCTCTCTCCAGGTTCATAGGGTTTCCGGAGGCAAGCTATTATGGAAGTGGATGCCACTCCTCCTTCCAAGCTTGTTCAATGAGGAGCTCCACCCCACTCTCTGTCCACATTGGGTAACCAACCGTTAACGCATTTGACACATCTGTGTCACAGGGTTCAGCCTCACACCAACTACAGGCAGCAGGATGGCAACTTGTACACCAGGGCTATACGACCTAGAGAAATGTCTGAACAAAAACAATGAAAAACTAGCCTGAGGGCCACGAACTAAAAGTCACCCACCTTGGTCTTGGTCACATCGTTTTTTCTTCACTGGGCCAGCTGATCTCTCTCTCTCTCTCTCTCTCTCTCTCTCTCTCTCTCTCTCGTTCTCTCTCTGTTGATGTTATTGTTGTCAAGTGCCGTAGGCGACTCATAGCGACCCTATAAAGGAGAGTCCTTGACGCTTGGGTGCCTTTCATCCTCTCTGGCCAAAGGAACACAGCCCCCCTGGGTGGAGCAAACCTGGGCGATTAAATCATTAATATAAAAATCATTAATTAAAAAATTTAAAAATTTAAAAAAAGGAAAAATCTTACTTTGCCAGCTGAACTCCAACCAAGCCCACTGCTGTCACGTTGATTCTGACTCTTAGCGACCCTCCACTAGGTTTCTAAGGGGATGAATATTTATAGGAGGTGGCGACCCATCTTTCTTCCACAGTGTGGCTGGCAGATTTGAACTATGAATCTTTTGGTTAGCAGTGCAGATGACTCATTTCCCACCAAAGGACCTAACATTAAAGAAAATGCTCTGTTTGGGGGGACATAACAACAACCACCACAGGAGCAGCAGCAACATATTTTCAGGGAGTGTGGGTGGCATAGTGCATAGGATCGTGTACTGCTAACGCAAAAGCTGCATGTTCTCTGGTTCGAATCCACCCTCTGGCTCCTTCATTCATTCATTCATTCATTCATTCATTCATGTTATTTGCCTGGTCTTTCTGGGCATTTGGATTTGTGTCTCCTGATTTAGGCCTTTAAGAAACCAATTTCCAGTTCAGAGTCAGTAGGGATCAAAGTAAATTTCTGCCTTCGAGTTGGATTTTATAGACAGATTTTTTTTCTCCCCCTTTTCACTTTTTCAGGATAAATCATCTGGAACTGACCCATAGCTAACCTTCCAGTGGGTTTTTGAGACAGTAAATCTCACGGGAGGAGATTGCCTAGTCTTCTCCTGCAGAGCATTTGGTGACCTTGAACCGCATGCCTTTGGGATTGCAGTGCAGCTTCTAACTACGAGGTCACCACAGCTCCCAACTAAAGGCTTAGTGATAAGTAAGGAGTTGTGTCCCCAAATCAAGGATACAGGGTTGACATAACAACCATGTAGATACTGGGTATTTGTTGAGTCATGTTTAGCAGAGTCTGAAGCGTAGCAGATACGGGTTTGATGATGGAAACGGAGTATTTTCCTATTTTGTGTATGTCTCCAGTTTGCATTCTAAATCTTGCAGTTAGAATATTGACCTAGAGGTCATCTTGCAGAAGTGTATTTTGCAGAGGCGTCATTACAGATATGGAGAATGAATGAGAAGAAGAACATTCTGAGGAGGTAGTTTATGTTATGCCATTATTTGGCCCACTCTTGACCAGGGTAAATTGTCTTACAGTGTAGCAGTATCCCCTGCTTAATGCTGGCTGTGTTTCCATGCAAAGCTTGAAAATGCAAAGAGAAGTAGCTGAGAAATAGAACTCTCTGAGTAGGTGGCCTAGTGGGTAAGGAGCTGCTCTGCCAACCCAAAGACACACGGTTCAAATCCATCAAGAGGTCTGAGGAAGAAAGATGGCCGTTCTCCTGCTGTGCAGTTTACTGCCTCTGAAATCCTGCTGGAGGGTCAGCTATGAGGTTGTCCTAGACAGCCCATAAAAACAACAGTCACAATGTCGTGTACCACTGAGTTGGAACCGACTCATAGCTGACCCTTCAGAGGATTTTCAGAGGCAGTTAATCACATGGGGAGGAGATTGCCCATCCTTTTTCCACAGAACAGCTGGTGGCCTCGAACCACATGCCTTTGGGACTGCAGTGTAGCTTCTTGCCAGTAGGCCACCAGAGCTCCCTGTATGATGATTTTTTTTTCTCATTTCATCTTTGATGTGTCAACTCTTTTCTTGTTTCAGTTGAAGCCACAACTTCTGTATAATTTAAACACACAGGGATAAAAACAAACAAACCCAACAACTCCAGATACCACAAGCCAAATTTTATTACTGCAGCAGCATCACATTTTAAATGCTCATGCTCTTTAACGTTAGAACCCTAGAGCTCCTCCGAGCTAAAAGCAGTGTTTGCTTTTGGCTACGACAATGCCTCAAGCATTGTTTTGACTTTGTCTTTCATTTGTTCCAGGACCCCGCAGGGATCTTTGAGTTGGTGGAACTGGTTGGCAATGGAACCTATGGACAAGTTTACAAGGTGAGTTCACTGCACTTGAACATGGCTGTGTGTGCTTTGGTTTCATGACTGCTGAATAGCAGTGTTGTCTATACTGGCTCATAAATGCCTCTTAACATATTTTAACCCAAGTAAAATACCTGTCAATGGGCTTGCCCTCTTCTCTTAACTATCTGAGTTGTCCCTTTGCTAGACTGGGCTCTGTGATTTGGGTATTTCCCTTCATTATGCGTTATACTGTTTATAGATGATACACAGATTCTGAAGTTGTCTGGTAGAAGCCCTTTGAGGGGTTTCATTTCCTTTAATCACTGTCAGAACTGGTTTTCAAAGGAGCAGCGGGTTCCATTTACTTTAGAAATCTAAGCTATTAAACTAGCAGCTGGAAAAGGAGATTTGTTACTGGCCTAGGGCGAGAGTTAAATGAGTTTTGGTGAAGTGTTGAGAAAGCTGGCTACCTCACCACACAGCAAAGACCTGATGGCAGCAACGGATTTGACAAGGTAGGAAGTCATTTGAAGTCAGACGGGAGAGTTGAGCCTTGGCTAAACAGTAAAGGCCATTCCTCTATTTTTATCTGCTTTTCACACCTTACAAAATAACCCCAAAAATGTATTTCAAGTTTGTTTTCTCTTCATTAAGTCATAAAAAAAATCAGTAGTTTTAAACGTGTGGGTGAATTTCTCTTTCTGATTGTCAAGAGGAAATGGAAGTGAACTGGTTTTGGATTTAAACTTTGGGGAGTTTTGGTGAGTGAGCTCTCAGAATATCTTCAAAGCAAACCATTTCCTCCCGATTATTTTCCAGGAAAGAACCCTGACTCTTCCGAATTGTTACATTAGGGGATGGCGTTTCCAATACAGAATAGCTCTCACTAGTGCTCTGTTTTTTAAAATACTGCATCTGAGCCTAAGACGTCTCCCTGTTGGTTAAAATTATTGCCCATGTCATGTAGATGTACGTGTTCTAGAGAATCTTTTCTTTTTTAAACCCAACTGTTGATGGGAACACATTTAATTAAACTCCCATTTAAGATATTGAGAGGTTCCCTTCAGTGTCCAGTCCAGGGAACATTTTTTTCCCCTTACAAGAAAAGATGATTTTTTAAGAAATGTCATCCCCTGGAATTAGACAGAATGTAGTGTTACCAAGGCTCTTCCCTTGATGTTGATGCTGTCTGACACAGAAAGTGTCTCAGCAAAGGCTTTTAAAAACTTTCAAAGAAGATAATTATGTTGGAAGCTTGTGCTGCTGCATTTTTGAGAAATTGGATTGAACTTGTGAAGTAACGTGGGCTAATGAATTTAGCTCTGATTTAGACACAAGATGACTTGTCATTTGTTGTCAGTGTGGAGTAATAACTGCGGCCCGGTGATTGTTTTATGGAGCTGTTTCTTTGGCCCGTTCCATTGGGCTTTGCTTCCTACGTGTAGAATGTGCATTTGGGAGACCGTTCATCACATTATCCACTCTTAGAAGAGAGGATAAACTCTTAGAAGAGAGGATGACAAGGGGATTAATTTAAGGCTGAGAAGTTTCAGAAAATCCAGAGTGGTCTCTGTTTTCTTATCACCTCACAACAAGGAAAACAAAACCAAAAATAAATGGCAAGGGGTCTTAGGTCTTTTTAGAAGAGAAGGATGTTTAACGCTTATGCTGTTAACATTATTATTCTAAAGGATGAAAATCTCTTATCAGTTGATAAAAAGGTTGACACCTGCCAAGCTGAGGGGAGACTGGGAATCATAGACTAGAGACTGCTTTGAACTTGGGGCTTGGACGTTTGTATTGCTTCTTTGTCATCTCAGCTTTTCTATTAGAAGATTTTTTTAGGTGAAAGTAGTATGTGTTCTTATAAAATTTATCCAAAGAAGTAGACATCTCTTTCCAATTAAGGGTTCTGTTTTAGGGCAACCAGATGAGGTCAGGAGGCACCACTTCAGAACACACTTGTGAGCTTTTGAGATCACTAACCTGGATCAGTGTGCTTGTCTCGACAGTCAACACTCTTGGTGCCAGCAGCCGGGAAGTTAAAAGATGCATTGCATTGGGAAAGTCTGCTGTCAGAGACCTCTCCAAGGTACTGAGGAGCAATGATGTCAGTCTGGAGACTAAGGTGCACCTGATACAGGCCATAGTCTTTGCCATTACTTGTTGTGCATCAGAAAGCTGGACGATGACTAGGGAAGATAGAAGGAGAGTTGATGCCTTTGAGCTGTGGTGCTGGAGAAGAGTATTGAATGTACCATAGACTGCCAGGAGAATAAACAGGTGTGTCCTTGAGAGGGTGAAGCCAGGCTGCTGCTTGGAGGCAAGAATTCTGAAACTCCATCTGACATATTTTGGGCATGTTGCAAGGCAGGATCAGTTCTTAGAGAGAGACGCCATGCTTGGAAGGTGGAGGGACAGTGCAAGAGAGGAAGACCCTTCATGAGATGGATAGATTCTGTCACTGGGGTAAAAGGGGTAGGGGTGTCAGAGACAATAAGGTTGGCAAGGGATAGAGCATGGTTGCAAGCAACTTGATGGCACATAACAACAACAACAACAACAACAACAACCCAAATCTCTTGTCATCTGGAGTCTGGCAGATTAAAGGTTAATTTTTAAAGCATAAGTTTTAATTTAAGGAAAATGGACTTGAGCAATGATTATTAACACTGTATTTCTTGTTTCACTTTTATCGAATATACATGTTTCTAAAATCTGGGAGTATAAATAGACGTTTTATAGCATTAAGGGGAAGTTCTTTTACAAACAAGTTCTATGAGAAATACTTGAAGTTTAAGTATTAAATCCTTGATTTCAATTATTTATTTTTTTTGTAAACTGGCCTTTGGCATTCATAAAGTAATGGATGATTTTATGAATAATTATGTGAACATAGTACTTTCTGGAAGGATCAATCATAATTCTCTTTTAATGAGTTATCCTAGTAGAGTCATAATAGGATTTTATTTGTCTTTAATACAGGAGCTCTGGTGGCTTAGTGGTAAAGAGTTGCACTCACAACCCAGATGTTCATTGAACTGACTAGCTGACCTGCCAGAGGGGGATGGGAAGTCAACTCTCATTCAATTTACTGCCCTGAAAGCCTGATGGAGGGTCAGCTATGAGTCAGTTCCAACTCGATGATGTATAACAACAACAACAACAATAGTTGTTGTTGTTGTTGTTTTTAAGTGCTGTCGAGTCATAGACGACTCATAGCGACCCTATGAATGAGAGACCCGAACACGTGTATAACTTTCATCCTTTCTCCACGTTCATAGAGTTTCCAGAGGCAAGCTATTTGGGAGGTGGATGCCACTCCTGCTTCCAAGCTTGTTTTAATCGGGGAGCCCCACTAAACACTGTCCACCATGGGTGACCATTATCATATTTACACATCCATGTCACAGTGTTTAGCATCACAGCAACCACGAGTTACCTTTGTACAGCAAATGGACAGACCAGTGCTGTACCACCTAGAAGAATGTCGGACCAAAACCAATTAAAAGCAGACCTGAGGGCCACAGATTAAAATCACCCACCTTTGGCTTGGTAGCATAACTTTTTCTATCCACTAGGCCAACAGAGTTCTCTCTATACAACAATAGAGTCATAATTTTTTTTTTTTACTATAAGTTGTTTTTAAGTATATGTCTGAAAGTATGCAGAATGCCATAAATAAAAACTATGTTTGTATTAAGGTGATACTGTCTGAAGAATATCTTCATATGTAGATGTGAAATATAAATATTTTATATGAAGAACGCTTATACAGTCTAGTTTTTATGAATGTTGTATATAATCTTAGACCAAAGTCTGTTTTATGATATCTTTGTCTTATAAGATTAAACTTGTTTAACATTTTAGTCTCAAGTGAGAAAAGTGGCAGTTTGGCATCTGTGTTTTACTCTATCTGTCGAACAGTGCAGATATAGATTTTGTTTTTAATACTGATTTTCTGCTGAGATTTTTAATAAAGAAGCTATCTTCCTATGCACATAGTTCTGATTAAAAAGCAAACCAGCAAAAGACCACCTGTCTGCTCGTTAAAGGTCTTGGCTGTCGCTTGTCATGCCACCTATTGAGAACCTAATGAATTCAAAGGCGTTTTGTTAAAATAGAGTAATTATTTTAATAAGTCTAAACAATTGTTTAATGTTTACTGCTTAAACACCACTAGAAATGAACCACAGATTTCGAATTAGTGAGAGCTCAGCTTCTTTTTTAATGTACCTTTTTCGAATATGTGTATTGGCTCTTGGAGATAAGGAAGGATATACTTCATGGTAGTAGGGCAGTGTAAATTAAGAGTATGGTGTTTTCCTCAGCATCCCTCTCAGGTTTGGAAACGGGCCTTTTGAATGGCTCCAGTGCTTGTAAGAGAGAGGTACTGTGAGCGTGTGTAGTTCCAAAGGCGCAAAGACCCTCACAGGCGCTCTCGTTTACTTACCCTATCAGCCATTGAGCTCATCCTTGATCACGTTTGATCGTGGAAAACTCATTACCTCCACACCAGTCCATTTTCTGACACTGCGCTCTGTCATGGTCGAGTCTGCCTTTGTGTGTGATTTACCCTCTCAGTTCTGCCTCATGTCCTTTTCCAGGGGAGCTCTGAGGACCTAGTGGTTAAGGAGTTGTGCTGCCATTCAAAGGCAGGTGGTTTGAAGCCATCAGTTATTGTGAAGTGAAAAGACGGACAGTCTCCTCTTGTGCACTCTACAGTCCCTGGAAGACCAGCTGTGAGTGGGTTCCTCCTGGACGGCACACAGCAACAGCAAAACCACCTTTCCGGTGGCCCCTCGACTGGTTCTGACTGACGATGACCCCGTGTGTTTAATAATTGAACTATGCTCTATGGGATTTCAAGGTTTTGAGCTTTTAGAAGCAAAATCTTCCAGCTTTTCTTCCTCTGAGTGTGTTAGAACCACTGACGTTTTGGTTCATGGTTGAATGCTTCCACATGTGTGTTACCCGGGGCTCTGCCACAAGAATACATCCCTGCGGAGATTTAAACACTTTGCTCTCCTTCT